ATTACAGCTGGACCTGTCAGAGGTCTCCAGGTCACACCCTTCAACAGCAGATGATGGGTACGAAACAATTATGTCACTTGGTGAAGTCTGAAAAGGACCACTTGTCAGTCAAGGGAGCTGAGGCAATTGTATTTGCATGCCTAACAGTAAAACTATGAGTGACAGACTGAATAGAACTGTCAGCTTTAAAAAAATCAGTTAACATCAGGTAGAAGTGCCGGTTAGGAGCCCACCAGCAGGCACAGTGGCACTGGAGTGGGGAGGACTCTGTGCCCCAGCTATGACCACCAGCTGCAGAAATCAAAGGAATGAAATAGGAAAGCGGAACTTTTCCAGCCTCTGGAAAGTCAAACCAGAACAGGGATCCACCATCGTTCAAAAAATCATGCTTGCCAATGACCATCCTGTAACGGTGGGTGCGCAGCATGTTTGGAGTCAGACTGTAAAACCTGCATTACATTACAGACTTTAAACAGGATGACAGCTGAATGCTGGAGAGGAGGAACTCTATTCTCCTTTGGAGATGAAACGCACCTAGCACTATATTCCCAGTCTTTAGGTGTTAGGCGAGCAGAAGTTGCAGATGGTAAATACAGTTAGTGTTTTGAAAAAGACTAAAGTAGCTCAGAAATCACATACACATGAGGAAGAAGGAGAAAGGGTATTTCAGGTGAGATCTAACATACCATTCTTACAGAGCTCTATTTTGTTGTTGCATAACATGAAAGAAAAAGCCTCTTGGGCTGCTCTTGATGTGTCTGCTGCCCCCCCCCCCCCTTTTTTTTTAAGACAAGACAGGAAAATGCAATAAAATTACTTTGCCTTTCATGTTCTAATACAAGCCAGTTTAATATAGAAAATACTATAATCAGAGCGACCAACTTCATTCCCGTATAGAGAAAATAATTCTAGTCAACAACAGCCTACATCTGTAGCATTCACTGTTACAACCTCTGCACTAAAGAGAGAGGAGTTTGTCAGGAGAAGTAAAAATCATGAGTTTTCCACACAAACCGTTAGCAGCTTTGTTAGATGTATTGGTATTTATATATTTCTTATTCAACTTGCTTCCTCATTTTTACTACTTTAGATAAAAGCTTACTGGCTTTTTTATTTAAGAGACGTTAAGTACTGGATAGGGTTGTTGGTACAATGCTCCACCCTGTATTCTAAAGGCAATTTGGTTCTTCGGTTAGTGTTGGATTTACCATTTTGTATCAGCCAAGATTTTTCATGCTGTCTTCCTATTTTGATGACATCTGCATTTAGAGGGCACGGATAACTGTTGTCAGCAGTAAGTGATGATGACAAGGGGCAAGAAGCACACCTTTACTCTTCAACAGGAACATAAGCTGTGGATGCTGATCCTGTAAATAAAATCGATGAACTCACTTTATCTCCAAATGAACCTCCAGAACAGGAGGTGCTAGAAAGATCATAGCCTGATCTTTAATATTTATTTTGTTGGTGATGCTAGGTAAAAAAATGATTTTTTTTGCTGATAACTTGCACATTAGCATAGGGAAGACTCAAAGCTTCCTTGGAAGCATACTACTTCTGGCTTACTGAAACCAATACTTTTTATTTTTAACTAAGTGTTGAAAATATTTCAAAAAATTGCCAAGTGAGCCTGGAACTGGAACACCTGGACCAGATATCCTGCTCTGCTGTAATACAGTCTATTGAGGGCTGCCTCAGAAGGTCACTCATACTTCAGCTACAGCAATATGTCACCACCTTATAAATGGGAGAGAGTTGTATCAGCAAACAAAATCAGTGCCTTGCCATGCCCCGGCACTGGCTTTCTACTCCCAGGTGCAAGGTGTGATGTTAGGTTTAAATCTAAAGGATCTGAGTGACTTAGTAAAAGACAAACTGATAGAGGTCCAGGGCTCAATGCTTCTAAGAAAAGACACAACTGCACTGAATTTCACAGGGCTGAGGCATTTCAGTGCTGAACAGCAGTATCTCTGGAAAAGCTAAAATGCAAATAGTGAATGATTTCAGCCATCACAAATGGCATTAAATTAAAAAAACCCACCTTTCCAAATTTCTGGTTTACAGAAGGGCAAACTAATGAATCAAGATTTTTTTTAAACTAAAATCTTCAGACACGGTATGTCATTACATATTTCACAATCCATAAATCAAAACTTGGAAATTAAAATAGTGTGTCTTTATTGATAGTCTGCCACGAGTTATTGTATAAACTTAGAGTTAGCCAAACATCTATCTGCTATGTGGGAAGATCCTGAACATTGCAAGCATTATCTGCAAAAAGCAGATGCTTTCTTATAGCAGACAACAGATGTTCTGTTACCAGCTCTCACTACAGTGCTGTATGCAATTATTGTTTTACACAAACTGCATGAGGCTTAGTGAAGTCACTGTCTCTTCATTACTGCTAACACACAGAGATGTATATGTTAACGTTAAGCCCTCACTGACTTCAGTGGGACTTCTCTGTCTCTTAGGTGAGCTTGCACATAATGTTTGCAGGACTAGAGTTTATGACTACAAAAGCTGTGACAAGGGGGGGCGAGAACAGACATACTACAATAGGAATTCGAAAAATTCAATGCATCCATCTTACTGAAGGAAAGCAGTATCTTTACATGCTATTGAATGTTAAAAACGAACAAAGATGTTTAAGCACAAAGTATATATTTATACCAAATAAAACAACGGAAAAAGTATTACATAAAGAAAAATAATGTAACAGAACGTACTTAAGTACCTAACTTACAGTCATGCTCATATCTAAAAGTAACATTGGTAACTAATATATATAATTTTTGACAAGGGTGCATTTAAGAGTTCTCTAACATACAACATTCTAAATGTGGAGAGTATTTTTTCCAAGATACAGAAAAACAAATTATTTTACACAGGCACACCTGTTAATTTGTATAGAAAAACATGCTTGTAAGTGAAAGGGTCACTTTAGTACTAATTTACCAGATGTGTGAAAGCTATGTAGTGTTAATCATGTTGAAATCGTCTCTTCTCCTTTTGCATTGGTGAGCGCCAACACTGAATGGTACAATATTTGATCCGTATGGTTTACTGACACTGCAACCTATTTCCAAGCAGTAGCCCTGCCCAGGTGTTGAACAGCACAGTACTGTACAGCCCCATCTGTCTGCATGTAGTGTATTTATAACTAAAAGCTATTACAATTATTACAATGATTTGTTTCAATATATACATCAGTATAAAATACTACCCAAAACACTTTCGCGTTTCAAACAATTTTAACCACTTCAAACAATGCATTTGCGGAATTAAGAAAAAAAATTCCAAATTAATGTTGATTGCCAACAGTACAGCATCTCTATGGTATGTTTCCTAATAAATGAGAGAACAGAAATGTATTAAAATCAATTAAAATAAGTATCACAAAACAGAATTAGTGTTAGAACGGTTCAAGGATTCCCAGTTTGTCAGTATCTACCCGAAGCAGTGCTACCCAAATACAGTATAAGCCATTTAGTGTTTCTACAGTGAGAAAGCTGTGACACACAAAAGCAAGGAAAGAAAATTTGTTCTGTACTCATTCCAGTTGTAGCAAGGTACAGCATGTCAGGAGTTTGCACTCAGTGCATCGTATGTGCTACTACACCTGTATACAACTGTGGAAGACAACTGCAATGGAATCAGCTCGGAATTTCCTTGCTGTTGTGGTTTTCTGTCAGACCATTCAAGTTATAACAACTTAGTGTCTTTTTTTCCTGAAGGGAAGAAGAGAGAAGAATTCATAACAAAATTGTAAGAATGCTACTAAAATCCCTATCTTGGACACAATATACTGCTTTAGGAGCTAACTGTGTCATTGCACGATATAAGTGGCCTATTAATCGCTGAATTATTGGTGTAGCAGAATATATTTGTCACTGTGTATGTTTTGAAAAACTGGTATTTTAAAACCTGCCTGTATTCCATAACAAGCCACAATTTAGTGTATTTCAAACACTCACGTCCTTACATAAAGTAGTAAACGTACATTTACAGTGGCAAATTTCAAATCTCTGCCTCTGCTGCTTCAGTTTTTAAAATGAGACTTGGTTCAGAGTTTTCATTCTTTACATTATCCTAAAACAGAGCTACTTCTGAAGCATAAAAAAAATCTAAATGATAAAAATAACACAGGGCTTTTTGTTTTGCTGATTAATTCCTAACTTGAAAAAAATAACCCAAGTCTTTAAAATTTTAAACACAAAACAAAAAAACCCAAAAAAATCTCTCCTCAGGAGAAGTCCCTGTTAGCCGAGAGTTTTTTCAAAACCAAGTTTCACACCTACAGTATCTTTATAGTCATGTTATACACCCTTGACAATAAAGGCTCATGTTGAGAATGGTGACAGGCCCTTAATTACACAGGTGTTAACTGGTGACACTATTTTGCATGAGAAAAAACCAAAAGCCTCACAAAACATCATAGCTTATACTGAAAGTTTGATTCATGCTCGTTTTGTTCATTTAAAAATACTCTTTGGAAACTGTGTCAACTCCTGCAGACAACGTAGTGATACATCTTTTCCTGTAAAAATAAAGATAATTCATATTCACCTCTACCCCATGCTAAGCTCTACTACTAATATACACTTCATTACCTGCTCATGTCACCTTCTAACACATATCTTTACACTCTTCTACATATAGTGTCCAGGGCTTATTTTTCACCAAAAGGAATTTGATAACTATTATATTTAGGAGTTTTTCTGGAGGAGGGTTTTTTTTTGGTGTTCTAGCCTTTTCATTGCAACTTGGAGTGATATTAATAGTTCAGACTTTTTCCATGCTAACTTAAGAGAAACTTTTCATAAAATCTTTCTCCTTTAATGATTTTAAAATCTTAACTTGCTTAGATATCAAAACTGAAAACCAGAAGAGAGATTAGATGCATCTGTCATTTTAAAATGGTTTCTGCTACTTTAAAATGCATTTTAAAATTGTACATACGACACTTTAGGATTCTAACTTTTACATTGCTGCAATCAGATTCTAATTCAAAATCTTGCAAATAAACATGAAAAATAAGCCACTGGTCATGAATTCTAATGATTACATTCAAAGCTAGCCTTTAAAAAAATAAAAAAGTTACAGGCAAAAACATACTGGTTTATGTACTCACTAGCTTATCAGGCTACAATAGGCATGTTTTAAGTATAAAAAAAGCAGACAATTCAGATTTAAATAAGACTATGTGAAATCAGAAAAAAAACTTAGATTTCACTATTTAAAAAAAAAGAACACCTATAATTACTTCCCATCCTACAGCTACAGTTAAACCAACTAACAAAAATAATCAAACTATTTTCGACAAACAAAAAATGTTAGGCTAGAATATGTGGCAACAATCAAAGTTCATATATGTTTTTATGTAAAATGACTCATGATTTACTATAACATAAAATATGAACAAGAGCACTTTGTGACTAATGAACAAGCTACTAGTAGAAACACTTAATGCCAAACAGTCTTCAGCCCTCCTTTAAGTCATATTTCCAAATCAGTATTGACTTCTGTTGACCAGATACATCATTTTTGGCTTGTCACCCCAGTATGTCATGTTTTACCACTTGCCACAGGCAGCAGGAGACAACTAGCTGAGCAAACTACAAGCAGTGACATGCAGAAATTAACTCTCAAATCTGAGTACTTAGATAAAATGATATGCAAGCGCACACTAGGACAAAAGGAATGGCATTCGTCATCCAAATAGGCTCATCATCCCTCCCCACCCGCCTTGAACAGTAGTTGCAACAGCAATAGAAAAAGATCAAGATGTCTGTTCTTCAGAGTCAACTGTGGAAAAAAGTCAGCAATATATAACAGCAGCGATGGACAAGGAAGAGCAAAATGAAAGAATCTTGTTGAATATTTGTTCATTTACTTTTTCTGAACACAAGCCAAAGTGTGCCACACTGGCTTGTTCTGAACTTCAGATAGAGATGTCCTATTCTCCTTAGATCCTTCACAGATTTAGAATTCAGTCTCCCTGAGGCCCCTATAACCAAGTAAGAAAACTCTCTTTATCTAGCTTGGTGGCTGCCAAGACAGATTCCATGTCATTAAGGATGTCAGAGCTCAAAGCCTCTTGCAGACTTGGCATCAGTTCTTCTCCTTCTATATTCATCCCATCTCCTTCCAGTGTCCCAAGGTCCACATTTGTCCCTGGAATGGCTTCAAGGTAGTCTGGGAAACGGTTCTGATGGGATGGTATGGTACTTTGGCTGATACTGTCACCTAGTTATAACACAAAGCAAGACAGATATTAAAAATACTGGAAGTACCAAACCCACAATTTATCAGGACACCTGCTTAAAGGTTAATCCTGTATCATCACACAAGCAGCATGATTCATAGAAATCCATCACAAAAAACAAAGATGACTTGACTGCATGCAAATGCACACAGAACATGACTTTGTTTCAACCTTTTAACCTACTAACCCAAATCTCTACAGATCTTTGATGTCATTTAGCATATTTTAATTTTTATGCTTAAAAGAAAAAGACAATACTGAGTCAAATATTGTTTTGGAGCAGTAGTAGCAACATTGGATGAGAGACTACTCTTAGCTCTGAACAAACAATATTACTTAAGCAAATGGACACTCAAATTCCATGTAACAACAGGAGTGATACTCTTCATGAGCAATCCCCCATCTTTCCCAAAACGTTGACTACCAGTATGTTTTTCACAAATCTAACTATAGTATTTCTATTACAGAAACAGAAGAAGGTATAAAAACAATGTGAAAAGTATCACACATCCCAGGGTTGCTCATTTTCATTGCAAATGGTCAAAAGTATATTTAGAAAACATGCATTAAGGATGTACACAAAAACAGACCTGTATCCATCTCATCAACACTGTTCAGGAAGTCATCGGGGGTTCTGGGTACACTATAACTGCTCATACTAAGTCCACTATCTGTGCTTTCATCTCTGGAGTGATATGTTCCACTGTAACAGAAAAAAGGGAGCAAAAAAAAAATGAGGGTAGAGCACTGAAGAAATGAAAAGAAATGCTTGGGTTTGGACCAATTCAAGGGCTTTGAAAAACTGCTGTAATGAGAAGTGCTCCATTCTAATAAAAAACTGAAGCCTTCGTCTGTGTGAGACACCTGGGTTTTATTTTATGCAGACCTTTTCCAATTAAAATCTTATTATTTAGATTCAATTTAACTTGATGAGAGCATACATAAGCAGTTTTAAAAAACTGTGTTCTGCATAGTTTTAAACTTTTCACACCCACCGCTAAAAACCATTGGAACCATATCACAGATAGCCCCAATGATTATAAAAATAACCATAATGGCATACCCTTTCACACTTCTATAAGAATAAAAAAAAATTTCTAACTACTAACATCACCATGTTTAATCAACCATTGAAGTGTATTTTTAGGCCACTGCTGTTATAAATAGGAGCTATAGTTGGAACTCCTTTAGTGATTCTTCAATTGCTTCCCACTGTTGCATTGCTACAAGCTCAGTCATACATGTCATGGCAAGAGAGCGCCCTAATATAAATCAAATACTGGTACAGGAGCCATCCTGTAAACAAACCCTGTCAAGAACAATCTTGTTGACATAACAGTTAACAGAACAGTGACTGCATGGGGCCTTACACAGATTCATTTTCTATCAGATAGATATCACAGTGGAGAAAGACTGAGAAAGCTGCAGTGGAAAATGTGGTACAGGGCAGGGGAGAGCAGACCAGCGTATTGAGTTTATGTAGCAATGTTTTCGTAGCAGGGGGGCTGCAGAGGTGGCCTCTGTGAGAAGACACTAGGAGCTGACCCCACGTCAGACACAGCTGGTTCCACCTGGCTCCAAAACAGTCCTGCTGCTGCCCAAAGCTGGGCCCATCAGTGACAGCAGTGGTACCTCTGTGATAACATATTTAAGAAGGGTAAAAAACCACCGTGCAGCAGCTGGGAGAGGGGAGAGAGAAAGTACAAGAGAAACAGCCCTGCAGACACCAAGGTCAGTGAAGAAGGAGCAGAGGAGGTGCTTCAGGTGCTGGAGCAGAGATTCCCCTGCAGCCTGTGGTGAGGATCATGGTAACACAGGTTGTCCCCCTGCAGCCCACGGAGAAGCATGGTGGAGCAGATATCCACCCTGCAGCCCATGGAAAACCCTGTGCTGCAGCAGGTGGTTGTGTGCCGAAGGAAGCTGTGGCCCATGAAGAGTCCACACAGGAGCAGTTTCCTGGCAGGAGCTGTGACCTGTGGAGAAGAGCCCAAGCAGGAGCAGATTTTCTGGTAGGAACTGTGGTCTGCATAAGCAGCTGTAGAAATATACCGTTACCTTCCCTCCCCTGCATCTCCTAATATCCAAGCTTCACAAAATATTTTAAAAACCTATTTCTTCAGGTTGTGGTAGCATTCACTGAGAATCCTTCCTGATTTTCCAGCTTGAATACTAAATAAAGATCAACTTGACTTACTGTTCAGATTAGCATTTGAAGACACACTGATACTTCTCATAATGTGCTCACGAAATATATAGCATATGCCTTTTTGTCCAGTATGAAAAACTAAACAGATGATGGCTGAACAGCTATTCAACATCAGATGCAAGTAGAACGCTGTTAGCCATGAAAATAAATATATAAATTAGACTTCATAAAGACAACTTTGCCATACAAGAAAGAAACCTAACATTTCTTTATACTTAAATCATAAATATTTCTCTTTTTTTAGATTGATTTAAAAATAGCATCACCACACATTTGATAACAATCCTAATAATAAAGCTATTTAAAAGTTCTGTGGAAAAAAATGTTGGTTTACTTTGTGGAACAAAATACTAAAAACAGAACTGAGACTATGCTGAACTAAATCATTCTTCTGAGAAGGCTTTTTGGCTGCTGCTCTCACACTTGGAATGCCAACCCTTCTCTTCAAATCACTCCTTAATACACATTTCCTCTTTCTTCAACAAGGATTTCTTCATTTAGTAGTCACACCACCCAAAATTACTGCATGCAACTAAATTGCATTACCCAAAATAGAGTGGACGCTTCTTCAACTAATATTTGTTAAAATATGTATATACAAAAGAAGAAATTCCAATTTAGGAGTTAAACAGAGAATTACTGTCACTACTAATATAAAACTAATAGAAAAAAATATATAAACAGTGGCAGACCAAAAGTCTGAAATTCTGCTGGATGTCCCATTCAAAAAAATAAAATATACCACAATGGCAGTAAGTAGTGAAGACAGCAGACAGAAGATTGACTACATAAATGAAAACAATACTGTACATTTTCTCAAATTGCTCCAATGTAGCAATCATTTTCTGAGACTTTTTTGGATGTTCTGATTATGTAGGCAGTGGAAAATATTCAACTACCTAAACCTTGGATATTCAACTCTGGTACCTAAAGTTAGCAGGACTGTCTAAGCAGGAAATTTATATATGTAAAAAAAAAACCCCCCTCTTTTTTTCCCCCCCCCAAAGCCTTTTTTTTTTTTTTTTTTTTTTTTACTTAGTTTTAAAGCACTGTGTACCTTGAAACAAACTTCTCCCGCTCTCACATTAGTACCCAACAACACTTAATGCAGTAGAAGAAAAAGCTCAAGAGCAAGGGGTGTTATTTACATAACCTAAACTATATGAATTACAACAGATTCCACTGGCAAGATGGACGATACGTTCTTGCACCGTCTCCACTGAACTCTGCTAATTTTGAGAATTAGAGTGATGATAGAGTGTATGAAATGTCAGAGAAGTCTCCTGGAAAAAGCAGGAAACAAAGCAAACTTAAGCTAAGCTGATAACCAGGAAAGTTACATGCAATGACAGTTCATCTTTAGCGACAAAGAACGTAAGTGTGAGATATCAGCAATATTAAGTTATTTAAAAGAATGTGGGAAGGGATTTTAACTGGAGCACAGGTTTACAAAGATTTTAACAGTTTTCAGTATCTAAAGTTATGGCACGTATTTAAGCTTGCCCTACTCCAAATTCATGCCAGTTCTAACATGATGTGGACTTCTTACCTTACAAGCAGGTTTGAAACTGTATTGGTGGTAAAATTAATGGAAGGGACTTACATTGAAAGAATCAAGACTAATTTTATGGGGTTTTCCACAAGCATAAAAATGTACCAGTAAAGGGAAGGACAAACATGTTATACTTCATGAGCACTTACAGTAAGCATCCTAAAGTTAGGCTAACATTTCAAAGTAATGCAGAAAAGTAGTGATGAATGCTAACAGAATACATAATTTTTCTCTTCTATGGTAGGGGATGCCGAGTTGATATCAGCTTAGAACGCTGTCCAATGAAGAACTACAAAATTAACTACTTCAACTTAAGGATAACTACTTGATACTACTGAAATGTTAGTAGGTTTTTACTCCATTAGCTAGAAGTTCATGTGGCTTGGAGATTTGACTGTTTTACTGGCATGCTAAGCAGAAAATACAGATATGACTTATATCAAGATGCAGCAGTTTCTCCAAAGTTGTAATGGTTAGTATGAAGCATTTGTAAGCCATAATTAGAACAGTATTTCCAACAAAACAAACACTCCAACTTTGAGGGATTAAGGAAAAAGTTATATGAAAAAGACTAGTCTATACTGCAAAATTCTGAATCTTGGAATAAAAGACCCACTTCAAAATAATACAGAAATTAAAATGAAACATGCCACTATTTGCAGACCTAACATTAAAAGAGTAAAAATACTGCTAAATTAAATACCTGAAGTGGAGGGGAGGGGTGAATGGAGAAACCTTAAAATGAACCTCAAGGTGCAGTATGTGCCTCACAGTTCATTTGTTCTCATAGCAAGCTATTCACAAATTCTTCTGAGTCAGTAATTTGAAATGACTGTTAGTCAACAGATTATGCAGAAGCAAACGTGTTATGTACTTTGAATAAAAAAACCTTCCTACAAGTCTGAACAGACTACTTCCTCCCACAGGAGACAGCTTTTAATCCTCAACTTTTACTAGACTTGCCATTTAAGGAAAGATTCATTTACAGCTGTGGCTTTTGGCACAGACAGATGTTCAAAATAAACTATTACATGTACCAAACAGAATTTTAAATCAATTTTTTTCCCCTCTAGTAGCTACTCCTACAAACCTGTTAAGAAATGGATCAGAACTATTTGTAGTCATTGTTCTCAGTTCTTGAGACATTCCAGGAGACGACACGGGATTTTGAGATCCACTGTCTTGTTCCATTGTTGGAAGCTGGCTACGGAGAGCCAATTCCTAGAATAGGGAGAGGGGGAGAAAGAAAGATCATGTTAGGTATCTGAATGCACTTTCAGATACATAAACACATGACATTACAGGTAATTAATGCTTTTACTGTTTCCAGTTACAAAATTTAAATGAAATTAGGTTTCTGAAGCCAAAGTAGGAATTTTTACTGGCTTCAATGATAATGAAAGTTCCACCAGTCACGCCCAGTATTACAGAGACTTCACTGTGTATGTGTTTATGGATATAAATATCTGTATGTTTAAATAAATCTTTTCTAGTTCACTTCAATATCCTTTTGCCAAGTCTATTCTTAATATCAAAAAAGGAATTGTTAACACTATCTGACCCTTAAAGATAAGTCTGTCTAGCTCTGCTGACTAGCACTTTTTCCCCATTTCTTTTAAGATCTGATTTAGTCCCTGGTTTCCTTTTTACCTTGCTTGTTTCACTCAGCAAAGTTTAAAGTCTTTCCTTACAAGTTCCCATTCACACCTCCTGTTTGAGGCATGCATTTTTTAAATTTCTGATTGATCACATCAGTGACCTGTCCCATACATAAATCTTAAAGCTCTTCAAATCCCTAGCAATTTCTTCATACACAGCACTTCTGAAGTTATGAATGTAGATTACATATATATTTTTATGCATCTGACTATGCACCAACTTGAATGAATCCATCCATAAAGGTTGTCATTATTATTTAATGAAAATAAGTTTTAACATAAAATACACAGAATCAAAGGTGGGTGGAGATAAATCACATTTTATGTAAGTATCCCTCTCTCCCTTTTTAAACAGGTAATCCAAGAGTTACACATGTGAAAAATACAATAAATTTCTTCAAGCAACTCTCCTAAAACATCATCAATGGCTCACCAAGCCTGTGCTTTGTTAATGTAGAGACTGGTAAAGAAATCCATTTACTATCTTCTTACCATTATTAGTAGTATGTGATTTGCAGGCTGTGCCTGGGAAACTAATCTCAGGCAAAACTAATCTTGTCAATCTTCACAATACTCAATATTTCTCACTTGTAAAATGAGACGTCTTCATCCATTCTCAATTATGAGCCTAAGGACTACTGTAAACTTATAAAATATAGAAATAATCTGTCTCCAATTCTTCTTCAAAGTGTTGTTTTGGTTTTTTTTAAATCTAAGGTCATTTTCCTTAGCAGCAGATTGTGTCAAAACTGAACGTTTCCCTACCACTTGGGGTTTTTTTTTTTTGCTTTTTCTAATCTGCATATGCTTCACTCCCATTCCTGTGGATTAGTATTCTACATATTCCTTTAATACCAAGTTTCATATCTTATACTAGAAGGTTTTCTCTCTCAGTTGATTAGATGTTTGCAAAAAGCGTACAAACATACCATTGTTTTTTTGTGTTTGTCACACCCAACTGCCTACTCCAAGTAAATCTAGTCCTCTGCTCATCATCACTTACTTGGCCACTGTTCTAACAAATAGTAATAATACTCCTCTTCATTTTCAGATCACAGGATGGTAGGCACCTTTTAATAATTTCTATAGGCTTATCCATATGATTTTCATTTGCTTATGTAATAAAAACAAGTGTAACATATATATTACATGTAACATGTAATAAAACCAAATAAATCAATAAAACCAAGACTATATAATGAGGTCTTGCTTCACAGCTAAGTTTACAAATTTCTATCAGTCACATTAGCCTTGATACAAGAAGGCTGATACACAGGCAGGTCTCAATCAATTTAAAAAAAAAAAAAAGAAAAAAAAAGAAAAAAAGAAAGAAAAAAAAGAAAAAAAAAAAAGAAAGCAGCCATCCCAGAGATTGCTCAAGAACTGCTCGCTCACATCAGTCTTTATGCCTTTCCTCTGGGGACTAAAACTTTCCCAAAACTGAGAAACTGCCTTCATGTGATGTAACTACTTTTAACTAATTCTATCTTGCTATTTGTCCAATGAAAAAGGAGGAAGGTAAAACTAAAAAAAAAAAAAAATCAACTCAGCTTTGCATCACTACTTCTAGAATCTTTTCAGCCTTGGGTTCATACCTGGAATACAGCTTACCTTCCTTCTCTACTCTGATAGCAGGGCTGTCAATCAGTGAGTAGTGCTCTGCTCTTACACAGCTACAACTACCTGGCTGTCTCAAGAATGCTCTCTCCTTTTCCCCCTCCCTCTTGCTTTGATCTCTGCATTGCACTTTTATTTCCTTGGGCCGCAGCCCCTGACTAGGATGGAGAGGAGGGGCAAAAAAAGTGCCAGTAGACTGTGGAAGAAGCTTAATCACACACCATTGCCCCAAAGAGTGACTGCAAAAAAAAACCAACACCAACTCATTTCTGTATATAAAGCACTAAAGTGACATTATATCTCACTGTGTAGTAGGCCTGGTCTTTCCAATCAGCACTGCCTCCTGATGCAATAGTTCAAAAAAACCCAAACCAAACCAAAACCACTCCCCTGTCATCCCCCTCCACCCCTCCCCCCAAAAAAAACAACCCAGAGATAGAAAAGAGAGATCCATGTAGGTCCCCTTTTCAAAAGCTACTAACACCAGGAAAGAAAAAACCCACAGATTTCTCTTTACTACCTTAACTAAAAAAAAAAAAAAGGTTCAGTACAAAGGAATAAGCCATTTGGTAAATTGGGAAAATTACCCTTTTATTTTCTAAATCCTTAGATGGTAGGAGACACTGAAGTTTCATCAGTATAAGAACTTAAAGAGTATGCTAAAAATAAATGTAGGTCGGATACTAACCAGCTAAAAAAGAAAAATGACATTTCACTGAAGGCCCAGTAAAAAGTTATGTATTAAACCAGGAGAGAGAACTGTACTTTGCGTATTCTTTGGCATGTAAAATATAGCAAAACAAGTCTTTTTAATATTAGTACTACTTTTATCCTTGTTTCAACAACAACACTGCTAAAAGTGCAAAACTGCAACTGGTTTTAACTATTTATAAGTAGTATTACTGCTACTTATTCAGGGGGTAGAACTACAGCACTTCCCCCTGGAAAGAATGTTATTCCATTACTCATTCAAGTAATAAATTTATGTCAATCTAGGAGTCTGAAGCAGAAAGGAATTACCAAAAAAGACGAGCTATTCAGAAACAAATACAGAGCAATTTTTTAAATAATTCTGTAAGATAAACAAAGTTTTTTACAATCCCTTAAGACTATTTTTCCTAAAAGGTGCATGTAAGGGAAGCTAAAGTTGTTTTGCTTGAAAAATGGTCTTCTCATTTCTCCTTCCTTGTAAAACTGATTTCCAACAAAAAAAGGTTACGTGTCTCCTATACTTAAAATAAGGTCAGCATTGTAGAATTTCTCTAGCTGACCTTATCATTTTTTTTTTCATAATTGCATACAGATTAAGTTTTACATGAAGTTCCAGGTCATTCACACCATGTCCAAATTAACTTTATACAATTACTCTTTTCAGAGCATTTTTATCTTTCTCACGCTTTTGAGGAAAGGTAAAAGACTCTCTCATCCAACTCACATATGATACTCTTACTGTACTAAACACATTATATGCTACTCAACTTGAATTAATATATCCTTATAATTGGGGGTGTTTTTTTGGTAAATTTACTTTAAAAGGGACAATTATAACACTTCCGCCCCCAAACACTGCTCAAATACCAAATGATCCACAGGCTTCATGAGAATGGGAGAGAAGTGTTAATGGAAAGAGAAGACCACAACACTTATGGGCAGACTTAGAGCACCAGTTATTTCTTCAGACTAAGTATTTACATTCTTGTTTGAGGGCCAGAAAGTTACAGCATATGTACAAAAGAAACAGGAAAAACACATCGACAGATGAAGACAAATGAAGTCAGCAATGAAGAGTTATGCAACTAGTGAAGGGTAAGGAGGAAACATAAATCAGTGTTGCAATCATGAAAACCAACAAAATTAATTTAAGAGGCGATACTGATAATTAATTGTATTGTATACAATTGGCAAAGAACTCAATGTATGCAGAGCATTGCAAGTGCAGATAAGGCAGCATAAACTGGAATAGAAATTTGTAAATAGTGTGCCGCCTTCTCTGGTTTTGCAGTCCTTTGCCGAGTCACTCCTCTTGCTATCTACCTGCCCATGGCTCCAGTAATGCACCTGCCCAGCCAAGGTGTCTCAGAGCACCAGTAAGGCAGGTACGAGTCAGCAATCACGAAGGCCATGCAGAGTTGGATGCTTTGTCTGCTTCTAGCAAAAGCTGTTATCCACAGCCATCTCACACTCTGGTCAACATGACTCGCATCTCCTGCTGACCAATTACTTTAGCAGTACTTGCGTGATTAAGTTTTGCAACTGGAAGCAGCACCAGCAACTCCAGGAAATCCACTGAAGTGAGGTACAATTACTACACAGACACAACATGTATCCTGAAGCAGTGAGGGGCATAAAAAGCAGACAAAGGCAACAAAAGCAGTGCCGATTCACTCTACAGACTTTTAGACAAGATATTGATCCATAAAGATACACACACACAAGCAAGCAATAGTTATTTTGTTAATTTGTAAAGCTCAGGTACTGCAAGTGGAATTAGAGCTTCTGAATTGTCAAGTTACTCATATAATACAACTATGCTTTCTACCATGTAACTTCTTGCTATGCTCAGCATTTCCCACTTAAACCAATGGAGGGTGTGAAACTCAAATTCTACCCTCTTGCTAAACAAACTAATGAACAAAGTCACACAGAGCTATGGTTTTCAATAAGGAATGAAGCTATACTATTGCAGAAGCAGAACATTTAAAGCACTTAGATCCCAAGATGGCTGAAGAACAGCAACATTGCTTTTGCAGTAAAACTAGCCGAATTCCATATTTTGTGTATTTTGATGGCAGCCGGCATACACTTCTCCACCTAATCCAGTCACACAGGACTCCCTTTCAGTAATGCTTGCCTATTTATGTCCAATCATGCTCGCATTTTCTAGGCAGTCTTTAAAGTAGTACCTTAGCATACTGTTCATCAGAAATACCAGAGACTTAGTAATTA